ATGCCTTTTAATGCTGTTCTTGGTCAGCTATACAAAGAGAGAGGTACAGACAACTTCCTTATCAATTTAAACCCGAGGAGGTCAATTGTTTGGTGGACCTTATAACTCATCTAGATGCGCATAACTGGACTTGAATGCATTTTAATTTCAACAGGGGTCCTTCACTAAAAGCAGCCTCTTGTCCAATAATCAGCCATGTGCCAGCCAGCTGAACACACTGGGATCAGAATAATGACTTAAAAATGTTTACTCACTGATTTATGATTAAGCCTTTCTCCACATCCTCCCACTGACCCCCTTACACTATGAACAGAGGGAACATTGACTGTATGCTGGTAAGCAGTTATCAATTTATAATATAATGTTAGCCCTGCAGAATATAAATCTCTCTCACACACTCTGTCTCACCATTTCTGTCTCTTTGTCTTTCTGTTCATGCCTCTCACTCTGAGCCTGGTACTCCATCTCCTTTACTCTGAGGCGGTAATGAGTGTCTGGTATTCTGCACTTCTCCACTGAAGTCCCATTTATGCTCACAATCCTTTACAATTCACTAAAAGGATTACCCAATTAGCTGGTATCGGATGCCATCGTGTGAGTGTGTGTGTCTGGGTGTGTCTATGTGTGACATTAAGTATGTGTTTGGCCACTAGATAGATGTGTTAGCAGTGAAAGTGAAAGATAGATGAGTGACTCTATCCCACTCTTCATTCCCAGTTGATGTTCTGCTGGAGGCCATATTGCTCATCCCCTCAATTCAGCCCAGGAAGAGTGCGTGTGTGCGTGTGTGTGTGTGTGTGTGTGTGTGTGTGTGTGTGTGTGTGTGTGTGTGTGTGTGTGTGTGTGTGTGTGTGTGTGTGTGTGTGTGTGTGTGTGTGTGTGTGTGTGTGTGTGTGTGTGTGTGTGTGTGTGTGTGAATGAGACAAAGAGAGTGACTGGGGTCCTGACAGGCTTTAGAGGATGACAAAGAAAGAAAAAGTATTACTTCTCAATAATTCAACTTACCAGCCTATCATTCTCTGAAAATATACTCTGCTGTCATACAAGAGACATTTTCTCTCCTTCTCACCATAATCTGTTAGTTTAATTTACAGTGTTGTGCCTTGGATGAAAGGAAATACCTTCTTCATTACCTGAAAGACATTAGTTACTTTGTGTGAACTACATATTGAGCTTAGATATCTAATCTGTGACATTGCACTACAAGTCGTATGTTCAGCATTGGGCATTCTACATCTATTAGATGGAGCGATATAAAATTGATTAAGACTAGCGTCTTTGTCGGAATCATACCAGCACCTCAAGATGATCCATTTGATCTGTTTTGCAGTTCTTCTACGGACATTGAAAGTTTAGTATAAACATATTAACTTCAAAATATCAACTCAAATGTGGATGAGTCAGCACGTAGATGATGAAAATAGTGACATTATATTGGTAGATTTTTTTTCCTTTTTAATAAAATGCTCCTCAGCAATCTTGGGTGTTATATTGTCCAGATTTCAAATTTATAAGAAAACTTTTATGAAGAAAAAAGTTTGATAAAATAATATGAAAGGAAATCGAATAAGTGTGAAAGGTAACATTCAGATATTCAAAGTGAAAGCTGAAAGTACACTTTTAAATTCAGGAAAATGTCAAAGTCTGTATAAACTTACCTCTGACTAATGGATTTCTTTTTTAAAGAAAATAACAGGACAATCTTCTGGATTAATGTGGGCTGTAGTAACGTGTTTTCAATGGTGGTATGAATCTGTGTGCTGCGTAACAGGAAGCCTGACGAACACACAACTGAGCCTTCATTTCCAACTTGCACCAGTCTAATGTTAAACTACATGGAATCAACCATGAAGTTCAAAGCCATAAAGAAAACACAATAAAACATATGTCCGTGGTTGTTGTAGTTTTACAGTTTAGTTAAAAATATCAAAGTAAGTTTAATTTGTCAAATTACTTTGGATTGAATAAAATCCATTCAAGCAGTAAAACTGCATTTATGCATGTTTTGGTCCTAGTTAAGAAGAAATTGTTAGAAGCGAGCTGCCCAAGAATGACCCAAAAAAACAGACATTGAACTAGACAGATTACACATACATCTGTTGGAAATTACCATATAGACAGTGGGAATTAAAGCAAAGCCATCTGGCACTGTGGCAGTACAGTGAGCAGAGTAGAAACGTTCACATTGATTGTGGGACAGGTATAAATCCTGGACCTTTATAACACACTGATACTTACTACTTGCTGTGCTAATGGATTGACTATGCTTTGTGAGTGTGTGTGTTCATCTGTGTGCATCATTTCATTTGTGTGTGTGTGTGTGAGGGTTCAGGCGGGGGATGTATTGTCAGCTTGCCTTATGGGGTTTTGTGTCAGGCGGGTCAGCTGGGGCTCGAAAAGCGAGGCCGACAGCCTACACACAGCCACACACACACGCTAAATGAGTGCATAGTACTCTTTTGTGCAGAAACTGACAAAGACACAATCAGATATAAGATTAAATATATGCATGCAGCCACAGAAACACTTATAAACCCACATCCCATCTAATGAGAGGTCTTAAATCAAACAGAACAAAAAATCCAGGGGGTCACACCATTTGTACTGCCTATTAGAATTTGCAATAATGGAGCAATGAAAGGACTTTTCAAACACTTTTATGTTTGCATCAAGTATAAATTGACCACTATATCTCTATATATATACTATATAATGAGCATAATTGTGGAAGGGAATTGTCAGGATGATAGATCAAGCCAACAAGATTCAGAATCCACACAACACCGAGAAACAATGGCACTCAGCTCAAAGGATGAATGAACACTGCTGGTGAGAAAAGTGGAAACTCTGGGAATACTGCATATTATTCTTCAAGTGAGGCAAAAGATTGTAGGGACATTTGATTGTAAATCTTGACTCACATTTTAATACAATATGAAATCAACATTGGTACAGATCTGTGCGCACATCCTGAGACAGATCAGGATTATTAGAGTTTGTTACACTTTGCTTTGACTTACTCCAGCAATGAAACTTTAAAACTGTGAGTTTGTGAAGACATATGAAGATTTGCGTGAAGGTCCTTTGGGTGTATGTCTGAACGAATCACAAAAGGCAGAATGGCTGTAAATTGCTCTAAAACTGATGCTCTTCTATACTCCATATTGTTCAGACAAGTCATTTATTTAACACTCAAATATGGTCCTGGGCTTTTTGGGGAGAATACATCAACCTTCACACAAGAGTTCCCATAAAGAGGGCACACTTCAACAGACAAAGAGGGAAAAGATAGAGGCTGAGCGCCTTTTTTTTTTCTCTCTCTCAGCTAAACTGTTTGTTCAGGGTGGGTGCAGGGCACCAAGTGGGATAGATGCATAGAGACAGGGAGGGAAAGGAAAAGGGGGAGACTGAAGGATGAATGGTTATTACACAGTTAGTCGATGCACAAGCTGTGGGTGCCGGCGGGTGAGTGTGTGGAGGGGAGGGCCGTTGCACAAAGGGTGTAAAAGATCTTTTGTGAAAGCTGGGAGTTAATCACTTGAGCGGCACACGCCAGTTCTATGGGAGCACATGTTGTACAGCGCCTCTCCTGAGAGGAGTGGGAGGTCACTAACACACAGACACACTTTAGCGCACACATATACACACAATTGAATCAACACGCTAGTTATGATGCAAAGCTGAACCCAGGCCAACTACACAAGGAAGAAGACCCACCCCCTCCACAGAACTGTTAGCAAGCCCTCCTGGCTGTGATTTTGTGTTTTCATTTGCTGCTAGCTGGTTCATATGTACACAGACATACACGTGTCTGCCTGCTTGTTTCCCTCACAACTGGATAGATGACTCTGCAGGGTTTTTGCTAAAGGAGGAAGCTCAGTTTGTGGCTGGCACAAGGTAAAATCTATTTTTTCATGACAGTGATCTCTCACCAGTGGTGGATGTTGATATCTGACTGAGACAGAGAAGGCTGGTGTTTAGATTGAATAGTATGCCGGCACAGTAAGATCTCAGCTAAAACAGCCATGTCAGGGATTGTTTACTTTTACTCTTGTTATTCTATCTCATTTTCTGTTGTCTGATGGTGACATAATTCTCCTCATGTCCGTTTTGTATAAGTCTCTTTTTTCTGGTTTTCAGAATGATGAAAGGTGACAGCCTTAAAAGGCTTCCACACTTTTATTAACCATTATTCTTTCTTGTGTATATTGTGGGAAAGGACAGTGACAGCTATTTTATTCTATACAAACACACAGCTGAACAAATGGATCAATCATAACAAAAATGCAGCATACACTAGTTTCTGACTTAAAGTTGGCAGGTGGTTCCATGCTTCGTTGCTGTGGCTATTAGAAAATGCTTAAAGGCTTGGGACCAGGTGGTGTGAACAGCAGAGATCAGCAAGTGAGGAGCCCTTTGCCACTAAAAGTCATCACTGAGCTGACTTTTCCCCTGTGGGCCAGAGATCATGATAGCAACATCTGGGTGTCTGGTTGTCTTTCAAAGTAGGTGGAGGCACCTCTACTGAGGGTGGTAACTGAATAAATGTTTTCAACAATAACAATTATCGCCATCAATGTATTTTCCTTCACGATCTGTTCCAATACTTCTCATCATTTCCAGAAGACTGCATATGTGTAAGAACAATAGCAAAAAAAATAGAAAATAATGGCTGAGTGTTATTTAGATGGCAGCACCAGCCAAGTGTTGAGTAGGCAGTAAGTAGCTTAATTGCCAGTTTGTTTAGTGGAAGGGCACCCAAAGGGTTATTTGTCAAATTCAACAGCTGAGCCATAAATCTAGAAGCACAAAGCCAGGCAAAGTGCCAAGGTAGACGTTTTCGGCACATTTGTTTTTGTAAATGTGAGTACACCTGCTTTGGCAACGCAAGTGTAGATTGAAAAGGAAACAATACAGTAACATCCATCCGTGAGGAAAATTGTTATTCTATCCATTGACTCGTAATTGTTTGTTTTTTTCTGCTTCTTGTAATTTCTTACAGATAAGCCCTCTGACAAAATCTGTCTGGGGACATGAGGCGAGTCGTCCTGTCACTCCTATGTAGCTTGACCATCTGGACATCAGCCCGATCCTCTCCTCCCCTATGACTGCAGGGCCATGGGTAGTGTCAGCAGCGTCATTAATAGTAACGGCCACAACGGTAAACACTGCAAGGCGTCCGAGAACAAGGTAAAGGAGGGAACAAGCCACCATAGAAAGACCGGAGGTTGCAGCCTTGATGGACTACTAAAATGTGGCTTTGCTCAGGGTTCCTCATCCTCCACTCACCATTCTAAAGGCCTCTCCCACTCCAGGTCAGGAAGAAGTGAAGATTTCTTTTATATCAAGGTGAGATTATGTGTCATCAGATTTTTTTATGAATGAACAAAAACGGTATGTGGCACTCCTTTGTAATAAAATGTTTCTGTCTTGCAAAAAGGTGAACCATAAAGCAAGGTCTGCGTACCAAAGAGAAAGATTAATGGAGGAACGGGTCGGCAGAGATGGTGAAAGTAATGTGAGACAGCAACCAAAACTGCTGCTCGTGCCAGGAAAGATGGGGGAGAAGGTAAGCCCAGTGATTCTTCCATTATCTTATCGTAAGTTTTATCTCAAAGATAGGTTTCAGATTTTAGACACATTATTTTACCAGCATCTTGGGCTTATTTTCTGGACAAATTACTTTGATTTGAGGAATGGCATGATATATGACTGTCCGGTGTATCCAAAAACTAAAGGACATAGAAAAGTAAGAGCAAAACTTTTTAGAGAAACAGTTATCATGGTTACCCCCCAAATCAAAACACTCCACTTTCTAAATTTAGTTTATGATTTTACTTATATTAAATTGACGGGTTTCATTTGAGACCAGCCATCCAGTGCATAACCTGTCAAAACTTCTCTGGAAACTGTTGCTTTTAAAACATACTCATTTGTGAGCTTTTGGGATGCATGTGCAAGTACGTGGTTTGTTTCCAGACGTAACCAGGCAAGTCTGCTGTTTTTCCTGATGGTTACGGCCTCACATGCGATTATCAGACATAATCTTTGCATTGATACACTCACTGCCTTTTTCGAAAGTGACTAAGCATTTTTTCCCAGAGTACTAAGCAATCTCTAAAGTACTGTGCAAATATATTAACTGAGGTCATGATTGCCATTCCTTCAAAATGTGGTTTCTCTTACCTAGTACAGTTGCCATGGTTATTCTTACAGGAAGAACAGAATTTGAAAGCGTCACATTGGCGTGGAGGTGAAAAAATGCTCCGCCAGTTCTGTAGTTTAATAGGTAGCAGCTATTCCTCATGGTGTGTGTTGGACCTGCCCAGTTTATTAATCTCCCCCTCCCAGATTAATAACCTAAAAATGCCTTGATTTTCTAAGAGAAGCAATTCCCATGCCAGGACTATATAAGCACATGGTATCATCCTCAATCTGTCTTTCTTCCTTAGAAGAGACACAGAAAAGGCTAGGAAAGAAAGAGAACGATCAAGGGCAGGAGAGAATTTGATATATTGAAGGAAAGAAAAACAAGGAAAAGCATCCCAGCTATGAAGTCAGAGAGAAGGAATGCTGAGCTCAGAAGCTTTACCTCTTACACTTCAGCAATAGCTCATATTATTAATATCACGGAGAGGAGCTATTCATCTTCCCTCAGACAGCATATGTAGGGGAGAAGTGGGATGCAGAGGAATAGAGGGGAGAAGAGAAAAAAGGGAGGTATGGTACCACTGGTGACAGTCTTGGACAGTACAGATTCAGTTAGGGGAGTATATGTTCATCTCAGAAATTAGGTTTCTCTTTTTAAGAAGGCCCACTAGTCATTTCACTTGCCGCTGTAGCTTTTTGACTTTACTCATAGTGAAGGAAAATTGTACACTTCGCTGGCTCCATATCTAATATGAAGAGACAAAAAAAATCCATCTCTTTCATTTAAACAGGCATCCAGTTGCAGACAATAATTATTGCATGTGCATGTGAACTGGGAGTTTTCAGTTTCGGTTAAACTCCTATTTATTTTTTTTGTAGTCCTGAAACTAGCAGACTTGATTTTTGCTGTGCATTCAGCTAAGAATAGTTACTTAATACAAAAGCATGAACTAGAAAAAGCATCTCTCACTGTGTGTCATTTCACTTTTCTAGACCTCTGCTGAGAAGTCACTGGTCCATTCCACTGCCTTCAAATCAGTGAATACAAGGACTTCCTCTACAGAGACAGGCCATCACAGCCTGGACCACATCCTTTATCCTCTGAGGAAAACAACCAGTTCAAATGCTGGACACAAGCAGGACATCTTAGGTTTGTCTCCTTATTATGCATGTAGATGAATCCATTACAATAGACTACTTTACCTTAATAATAAAGACATTACTGTGATGCCTTACAGGGACTCTCTCCGACTCTGGACGTAACTCCATGTCAAGCCTGCCCACCCACAGCACCAGTGGTAGTTTAAGTGCCTCCACAGGTCCTGCCAGTCACAACGATGGCCGGCCAGGTTTTGCAAACAGCCTCGGCAAAGGACAACCCAGTCTCCTTCCGTGGGCCAACAGAAATGACACAAAACCTGACAGCCACCATGTCGGTTTAAACCGTGGCGGGTTGGCTTTTAAGGCTAATGAGGATGCAGGCTCCCCTCAGTCAACAGATGAGCCAAGCACTCTCTCTGAAACTGCAGGTGGGATCCGCTCCCCCATAACTACAGATGAGTCACTGATTGAGCATTTGGAAAAGAGGCTTCTGGAGAGAGAAACTGAACTGCAGGAGCTACAGGTAGAAAACAATGAGTGAATACACAAAAACACAGCATGAGCACTGCTTATGGGTGGGCAGAGTGTGCGTGTCTAACCCCTGAACTTTGCTACAGGTTACTTTTGAGAAGCAAGAAGGAGAAACTTGCCAGCTGTTTGAGGAAAGACAAAGGTACTGCGCTGAGGAAATGGAGGGGCTGAAGAATCAGTGCTCCACAAAGCTACAAAAGGTTTCGCAAATGGCTGCAAAAACAAATAAGACACTACAGCTACAAGTCAATCAGCTCCAGGTCAGCCCTAATCTCACTGGTTTTCATCCTTTCCACAGATTTTCCTGTTCAGTCACCGTATGAGCATAATTTGACCTAAGAAACAAAGTTTTTTTAGGTGAATACCACATGTTCTTGCAAAAATACACAAAATGATGAATTAACTCTTATGCAGGAGGAGAATGAGAGGCTTCGGGAAGACGTTACCAAGCTGAGTCAAGAGAAGGACCTTGTTGACCTCAGACTGAGATCTTATAGCAAAGAAAGCACCCAGCTTGCGCCAACACTGGAGGAGGCTCAGTGGGAGGTGAGTCTTCTATTACGATATGGAACCGAATAACCCTATTGAAAATTCATATTCTAACTTTTCACTTAATTGATCACTTTTTTTTTTCATACTGATGCTATTGGAAATCCATGCAGGGAATTTTACTTACTCGCCTATTGCAATATCTTACAGTTTTTCTTTCTCAGCCATTCTGTTGTAGATTTACAAGTGTGCATTACTGCCTGTTCGGCTGACAGACATATGGCTCCATATTTGGGTCTAGAATACTTTGGTAGAGAAAGAAATGGTTCACTTAGTTAGTGAAAGTACCCAGGTCCCCTGTGCAGGCAATGATATGAGTGTTAGTGCAGTTGTTAGACAAGTCTTGTGGATTCTAAGCCGTTTTTTTTTCTCTTTTTGGGTGTAAGAGGTCACATAAAACACTTCAAATGTATGGGTTTCTGCAGTCTGTACAGTAGCTCTCCGGTTTTGTTTTGCTTTATTGTTACAGTTTCACTGAGCTTTGCACAGTCTGACCTTGAGGCGAACTTGCTGGAAGATCCTCCTAGGAAGATTTGCAACTGTCTAAAACATTTTCCAGCTGTGAATAAATTTTCACTCTGTAGAATGATAGACTCCAGGTTTGGAAATGACCTTCCAAGCATTCCCAGACTGATAAGCAGCAACACTTGCTTCATTTTGGTTGTCTTTACTCTTTGGTATTTTGTGAACATACATCTCAATCCTTCCACACCAAAACTTAATAGAGTATTTAAAAATTTAGGAGCTCGTGAGTTCACTGAGGCTGAAAAACTGCTAAAACAAACCAGAAAATGCATGAGCTGGAATAGATGAGATGAGATTACTGCTGGTAATGAAAATCTGACAGTCCTGTTCTAAAAAAGGACAAAAATTAAGCACGAAATGAATAATAATGTATTTCTGTTTATACAGAGTGAGCAGAGCATGCCAAAATCTATCTAAACTGATAATAACTTTGTTTTATTTTTGTTTTGGCACTGTTGGGGCGCATTATGCAATGAGGGTGAATTCCTGTATTTTTTCTTGTTTAAGCACACCAGTAGAAGACATATATCTTTGTTTCAAGGAGATGATAACTTGATTATTTTTCATGACAGCTATATAAATTGTGCATACATCACAGGAGAATAAATCTAACTAAATGCATGAACTTATTCAGCTACTTATTCAGTTGAACTGTGATAGATTTTTATGTGCAGAGTTAAATTTGCATTGACGTGTCCTGTTATTCTAGAAGATGCGTATTGCACGTTTGTCTTGGGGTTTAAATATGAGAGCAGTATCAACTTGAATATTGTTAACTGGTGATAAATAATGGGCCCCAATTTTTAAGACAATAATAGTTCATTTTTCTTAAGCTGTTCAGTGGAGGACATATCACGGATAATTAGACATACTTACATGTTGAAAATCCTCTGTGTCCAAAAAATAGGTGTGTCACAAGACAGGAGAGATCTCCTTGTTGAAGCAACAACTGCGAGACTGCCAAGCGGATGTAAGCCACAGGCTTAATGAGATTGTCAGCCTCAGAGGATCTATTAAGGAAAACGCTGCAAAAATGGAGATCCTTGAGGCACAGAATAAAGACTATAAGGAAAAACTCCACTCCTGCACCAGAGAGGTCGAGGTTAGTCTGCTGATATTTGTGTAAAAATGGTGATCAAACACATGCATGTACAGAAAAAGTCAGACTGTGGCCCTGCGACACTTCTCGGAAGAATACAGTCAGTTATGTGTGAGATTTTACCGCACCCTGTCAAATGTAAAGCTCTCAGTTTGCATATTTTCACAGGGTTAATCGCAATCTCAAGATTTGAGCTTGTCAGTCATTTCACATGAATGGAACTGTTGTATGATTCAACATACTGGAATCTTACCAATTACTGTCTGTGTCTGGATATTATCCGTTTCATTCAGGTGTGCAAAAATGAACTTCAGCGCAAAATGAATGAGGCCGAATACCTGAGAGAGAAAGTCAGCAAATTGGAGAGAGACACTGTGGGAATGACACAGGATTTGTCTGCGGCCAAAGACCAAAGGCTGCAACACAGTGTGGAATTTGATGGCTATTCCCAAACTCAAGACATGGAGCAACAGAATACAGATTTAGATTCCTCTGACCAGGGCCAGGAGGTGGAGAACAGGGGAGACACAACCACTGGATCCCTCCAAAGTGAAGTGGAAAAACTAAAGCAGCAGCTGAGAGAGGAGAAAAATGCTCAAGAGAGGCTGACCAGCAGCTTTGAGCAAGAGAGACAGACATGGAACAAGGAGAAGGACAGGGTCATCAAATACCAGAAGCAGCTCCAGATCAACTACCTGCAGATGCACAAGAAGAACCAGGACCTGGAGAGCATCTTGAAGGATCTGACTGCTGAGCTGGAGAGTCGGGCTGAGCTGGGCCTGGATTTGGGATACAGCTCGGGGTTACAAACCTATGATGATGTCATTGCCACTGAGATCTAAAGGGAGTACTCACATGCATGCTTTCTTTACTCCTGTCTTTTTTCACAGATTTCCCCCTGTAGCATGCAACAAGACAACAATAACTGTCACTTTGTATCTTTCTTGAATTATTTATTAGACTAGAGTATTTGGGGTAAAGGCTTACAAAACGTAAAACTACTGAAGAGTGTTACTGATGATGACCTTGTTATTACATGTTTATAAGTAAATAGTTATTTAAAGTTCAAATGAGAATATTTTGGGGTTTTTTTCCTTTTGAACGTGAACAATTACTGTCCAGATGATGATATTTTGTAGTTTGAGACCTGCTCAAGGGCAGACAACTGCTGATTTTTGTGCGTCGTGACTGATGTCTGACAGTAACCGATGGTGAGCATGATATTTGCACAGCATTGCTCTCCTCCAGCATGACAAAACGACAGTGAGGTATGCTGTATTGTAAGTGGAGGTTTCTGAACCTCAATACTGTTTCCCCTGTGCATCCGTATCACTGTATGCTCCCACACAGTCCAACATTAAGTGGATTTGAGCATGGAAAGTAGTTTTAAACCCTGAGATCTTCAAACAGTGCACAAGTCTCAAGCTGTGAATATCCATGCTGGGCACACAAAGCTAAAAAATGTTATCCAGTTCAAAATACATGTTAAGCTGTCATTAATTTTCACCCTTAAAGTGTAAAACCAGCTTAATACAAAAGGCAACAGGAGTTTATGTTTGTATACTTTACTTTATGTATATATGACATTTCTAGTATATTTTTGACACTGTGTAGATCTTAGAGAGAAACTTTGGTACAAAGAAGACGTCTGTGTAAATGCATCTTAAGGCTTTGCCAAACCAGTATTTATTCAGGTGCTGTCCGAATGCCTGATGTTAATAATATTATTTCTGATATCATTTTTAAGACACCTTTTACCCCTAATTTGTTTTATGTGGGCAGTTCTACAAGAACTACCAGGCATAAAAATGTTAGATCTATAAAAGTATGTGTGTTGTATTAAAGCAAACTACAGATCTGAACTGATTAAAAAAGAAAGTCTTATTAATCTTTTATTGTGCCATTTTAATTCTTCCGAGGGAAACCAAGTGCACACATTAAGATTAACTTTGTTTTTTAATGCAAAAGAAGTAAATAATTAGAGCGAATCGTGAAGAGAATGAGGAGCGATCCCTTAGTTTTGTCTGTTTTCCTAAAACTGCTCATCCCACTTTGTTAGAGTCAGATAACAATACTCCAGTGTGAGGAAAACAATGCTTACCAGCAGAAGCCCCAGTAATTTCGATCCTCAGTGTTTGAGCTATTTTACATCCCATGAGGACAGAGTAGTTTGTGAGCCAAAAGTATAACTGCTCCGCCCACTCAGCACTCAGAGACACACTGCAAGAAGTAAATGTGCATTGTTTGTCAAGAATGTGTGTACTCCGTTAACAAGGGTGCTTTAGATTGCGCAGATACCCACAATTGTGTTACATTACCTCAGCAAATCAGTGGGGATTTGCAACAAACTTGTCTGAGTGGAACTGAGGTGGCACTCAATCTCGAGTGACTCTGTGAGTGTTTTGCATCACTTTACAATAAGTCTTAGCAAAGGGAGGCACTAAAATATGGAAGTAGCTGAAGGGTGGCTGCTGCTGGTGCTTGCAAAAAGGTGAAATCTGAAAAAAAAAAATCCTGTGGAAAAGAGATCTCAGTGGTCACAGTGCTCAGCATTCGTGCAGACAGAAATGCAACTAAGTGCTGACAAACAAGGAGGTCGTTTGAAAAGTCACAAATGCTCGGTGTGTTGCTGCCCACTTAACTTTAAAATTCTTGTTCTAAAAGAGATTTCTTAATCTATTAACTGAGGCGCATGCTGCATTAAAAAATGAATAAACGAGCAGTCCGGGATGCTCAAACATCAACAAACATTGGGCTCATTTACATTATGCTGCCTTTGAATTACAACTAAAACCCTCTTCTGATGTACAGTTCTATGAAGGTTTAATGGAGGAAAAAAACTGCCCTTTTATGTGCATAAAGGCTTAACATTCAGAATACAAAACATAAACATTTTTGGAAAACACAACTTGCGTCAACGTGACCCATTCAAAGCTTTCAGCTTCACTCTTTGTCCATCACTCATTACCATTTCCCATTCCTCTTGGGTTTGAATAATAGGAAGATTGTTTTCCTCTCCCTTCTTATTATCTAATTTCTGCCTTTTGACAGTGTTTCTTTGCTCGTGAAACAGCTCTTTGCAACTCAGCCTCAGTCATAAATGAGCTGAAGGGACCAAATCAACACTGAAATCAAATTAAAGCCCATTGTTGGACAGTGCCGTTCTGTCACCAAAATTAAAGGACTACACCGTAGAGATAACGCAAAACTGTTAGGCGTGAAAAGAAATAACAGCTGTGTGGGTGGGGGACATCTTCCTTACAATATCCTTGTAAGAAACACCACCAATACTTTCGTATGTGAATGTGCTGCACACATTATAAGTTATACAACCCTTTCTAAAATGAAACGCTCCAACAAATATTCATTATAGCAGATTATGAGTGAAATGTTGAGTTTGCTGCCAAAGTTTTTTTCTTTATTGTTTTGCTAATGAAATCAGTTATTGTCATTTAGGCCTTGTTGTAATCAATAGTGTTTTGCAAAGTCTACGATAAGCATATCTTTTCACAGACTCAGCTTTCCACACACTTCTGGTCCAGCAGATGTCCCGGTGTGATTGAACAGCAGCGAGGCAGCCGTCAGAAGACACTGGCAGATAATTTAGACCTGCTTGGCCTGCAATGACATGATAATAAACGCCCTCATATCCTGCTGTGATTCTCCTGATCGGCTGACAGCTAAGCACAAAAGGACCTGAATTCATTAGTTACGGGGAGGTGTTATTGCAAATCCGCTGAACATGAAGAAAATGGATCTCTGCTTACATTTTCAGAGAAAAGAAAAGCAATGCATCCACTTAAAGTCCTGCAGGAAAAAAAAAAAAAGCGCCTTTGTGAAACAGAAGTTTGAACTTCAATCCACCGGCAAAGCTTCACCACTAATACTATGGTAAATATTCCATACCAGTAAATAATGAATGAGTCAATAACACAATATCAGTTTCTACTATGCCCCTCATTACTCACTGCACACTCACATACCCAAATGTGCCATAACCCAGCCGTACCTCTCAGCAATTAGTTGCCCTAAACTATCAGGGGGCTAGTTACCCAGGCATGTATTTCATATTTTATTGGTTTACTCGAAGCCTTGCATGCAGACCGAGCTTTAGCAAACACAGCCTGTGTGAAGTCCCAAGCTCCTCAGCAGCCAGCAAGTAATTGGAGAGGGAGTCCCAGCGGGTCCTCATATACTGCTGAAGCCTTAGCTACCGACAAGTTCAAATGGCAATGGAGGTAGAAAGGAGTCAATGTTTGTGGGTAAACTTGTGTGAGAGGTATAAATGCTGGAGGTAGCCAGAGTACTTTATGTAAATCAGCCAGCAGCCTTTGGACACACATTGGTTGGCTGGGAAGCCATCTGGTTCACTTCCCCACCCCCTAGCAACATTACCCATGATTATCCATGTCTGTGGGGATATAAAATTCTGCTCATGGGGGAATGGCGGAGGGGTGGTGGAGGCTGCTGTACGAATGCCAATTTAAGCCCTTGCTGCTCAAAAATCCGTTAATTAACTCCATCTCTCACGCAGAGAGAAAGTTCCTTTGTAATTCTACCATTCAACACAATCCGACTCCTTTATTCTAAAGCTTTGCCAACTATCAGCTTGTGAAATTAGCAGGAAGAGCTGAGTGTGGGATAAAAAGCCCAGTAAATGAGTTCTGTGCATTATATAAACATAGTCAGTGGGAATGTCTTGAAGCTAATATTGGAACGAAGAGGCCACTTTTTATAATGTTGTACAACTTTCCCCCATTTATTTTGTACACAACATACTAATAAGATTAAAGGATTACATTCATTTTGTTCACAGATAGGGATTTATTAATTTTCCAAATAATGACACAAATGTTTTACAAAAGTTCCATAATGTAAGTGTACTAATTTCTAAAACTAACTCTGTGCACTGACACAAAGTGGTCATATCCTAAAGTGATGATAAAACGAAGGTGGGTTGCACTGCCGCCATTTAGCTGTAAGAGAAAAGTAAAAAAAATAGGGCAATATAATTGTTGTGTTAATTCTGATTTGACATCATAACATGTTTTTGCATAAGATTTTCTAATTGAACTCACTGAAATGGCATTCGACTGAAGACGGCCTTCTGTGCAATCCAATTCTGCAAGCCAGTAGGTTTGTTAATCTCAGCTGCAACGGACTGGATGTGAGATGAATCATGAAAACTAAAAATGCAGGAGTCTGTGTGCCTCACCTTTCTCTGTGACAAACTCAAACTGGGAAGCACTTTGTGATGTATTCTTTTCTATCTTGAGATGCTTGACTGTAAAACATAAAAACACAATGATATATTATTACATGCAAGTGCACAGGTAGAGTGTAGACTGTGTATTTTCTCTCAGTATTAGGACAAAATTATTTAACTATTTACTAATAACTGGTAATGAAACAATAAACTATTCCCACCCATAATTGTGGCTGAAGTAATGTAGTGAGGTTATCCTGTCTAAAGCATCTCTGAGGGGAAGAAATTGGTTTTGGTTTGTCAATGCTACCAGAGAGCTACATGAGTAGTAATGGATTCACAAACACGTCTTGAGCCCCCCCTCATTCCTTACTTTTTATCTTCGGTTAACCTGCTTCACCTGTAACCTTTTGAAGGGTATTGAACAATAGATCTACAATATTTATGAAGCTCTTCATTGCTGCGTTTTCATTTATTCCCTGTACATTCTTTGAGCCTGACCATTTTCAGGGAATTTTTTTTTCTTTTTTTTTTTTTTACTCATCCCTGACCAATGAATCAATCAATCACAAAATGCCTCTAATTCAACCCTATGTTCTGTCCACACATCAGAGACAACACAGCAAAAAAAACATTTTAATTAGTGTCTGTAGGCACTTTGCTAATGGCAGCCTGTCCCATCATATACTGACATTTCTTTAGAGCATCCACCAAAAAACAAAACAAAGTATTGCAGAGGATAACACCATTTGACAGACAAATTACAGTTTTCTGAACCAGTAAGATGGCTTACAAATAAATATTAGTTGTAGACTTGTTTCCTGCAAAAACATGGACAACATCTAGCAAAGACCTAAAACAAGAACTGAGACATGCATTTAGACCGTCAATTGATCCTTCTACTGTTTGACAATACCTCTTCAGAAACTGTTTCAGTGCAGTCAACATTCAAAGAGGAGCTTTAAAATGTCCATTGTGAAATCTGAAGAACCATTCCCCAAAACGAGTGAAGGTAATTAGAACAAAGCTTGTCTATTAGTGTAACTTACAGAATGAAGTTCACATGTTAGAATGGAGCAAACTCCAGTTTCTCCTCATAACATGTATTCAGTTTATGCTCACATATTTTCCTTAGACGTATGCAGAGTAATCATAGTGGAGAAGAAAATTCTTAATATAGAAAATCTTATGTGGTGGATCAGACAACTAAAACTGAAAAAGACCATTCACTACAACAGGATATGGTCTTTCAGGAAAACAAGTTAGGGTTTGGGAAATAGCCTTCAATCCTCTTATTGTAACTAAAACTCAAACATTCTTAAGCACAAATCATCCAAAAGCTATTTCAGAAGTGATTTACAGAGAAACTGCAGGGTACCCACCATTAGTATTTGCAATAAGTACTGGCGCAACAGAGATTGTGTTGGATTTGCATTCAGTTTTTACCATTGTAGGTGTCCATCGTCACGGTAGAAATCTGCGTGGGTTCAGCAAAGCGAATGATAAACTCTTGGGGGAACATCCCGGTAGAAATCCAAAACGTCTCGGTGTTTCTGGAGGAAAATAACAATCATCCACGAAGGAATACGCAGCACATTTTAGCTTGATCAAACAAAATAGAAAACCTGACATTACACGGGTTGACAAAAAGTTCATGTTAGAAGCAACACTCACCCGTCAATTATGTTTTCAGATGGGTGGTTTTGGTCGCTGGATGACGTAAGGACAACTTTTGCGCCCAAGGAGCTCAAAGATGAGTCAATCATCACGAGCGATTCACCCAGGGAATATCTTTACAGGTAAGCAGATACGAGTTCGACAATAATCCACCTCAAATGGTGCGTTTACAAGTCTTGAGGAAATGAAGGCGACGTCCGGCTATTTCTGTTGCCAAGCCAACCACAGCGTCGCCTGATATATACGTCACCGCTACTATTTCCGACGCATGTTGTTGGGAAGTTGTTTGAAAATTAGCTTAAGTTAGCATTGAAAGAAACATTTTCAAATGGCGAATGGATCCGAAGAACTGCTGGTTGCACGCGGAATTGGACAGGCGAGTTCAACCCATATTTTAGCACAACATGGCAACACATACGAACCCTTTTCCGGTTGCTGTTGATGTATTTGCAGTGGTGAGCTAAGAAGCTAAGCTACAAACCAGCTTTGGCTTCGGCCAAGTTCGGTAACAAAAGACGAAATATATGGAACCCAAAACAACATCAAATGTTTTTCATTAGAGGACATATTGGTTTTAAATTCGTTCAGACTCGCTGGAAATGACTAATTACAGCGGGAAACAGATGTCCTTACCTGTAGCGTGATTGTGACGTTTTGTGAAATGAAACGTAAATATGTCGCATCATACATAAAGATAAAACGCAGGTGCATTGAAGGAAAAAAACATATAATAGGCTGGAATCCTGTATTAAGCAGGCATGTATAAAATATCTGTCGTTACTAAAGTTCAACTTTTTTTTCAGAGCGATGATTCTGATATATGGGACGACACCGCACTAATAAAGGCTTATGACAAGGCAGTCGCCTCTTTCAAGGTAAAGGAGCTCTGTTTCAGTTTGTAACGGTCCACGAACGCTGCATTTTTCTGTGCTCTTAAGTGTGACGTTTGTCTTTTAACAGACTGCCCTGAAAGGTGACGAAGAGCCAGAAGTATCCAAGAAAAAACAACCAGGAAAAAAGCGCAAGAACAACAAGAAGAATCAGAGCCGAAAAAGAAACAACGCTCCGCCAGACAAAGAGGTCAGTAGAATGAAGAAAATGCTACAAATACAATTACAGGAAAGGTTTGTGGAGTGGGATGTTTTAGCATTGGTGTCAGTTTGGGCCTTATAATTTATTTATTTTTCAAGTGTAATTATTTACGGTACATGAAATGATATGTTGGTTTTAATAGACAGCTCACCAAGATCTTTCACTTCATATCACATTTTTTTTTAGAGCTGTTTTTGTTTGCCGAATATTTCAGCTCAGAGCTTTATGTCAAATACATTTTAGTTGATGATTTTCTTTTAAGTTTGCACCTCTTATAGAAGTTACAACTGACAAACAAAAACATTTCTGAATTAATTCAACCTTAAAGGTCAATCAGTATTTTAAGTGGCCAGAAAATTAATTAAAAACCGATGAGTTATTTCTTTATTAATGGTGCTGGCCCGTTCCAGTGTAGTAAGATAATAAAACATAATTTATTTACAGGCTTAAAGAAATTAGCTTAAATAAGTGCATCCATATGAAATAGATTTTTGTAGGGCTCAATGGCCTTTTTATGGTTAAAGGCAGAATACTTGGTCGGTAGGGCTGTGTTGGCGTGGAATCACTCGTAAATAATGCAGTTTGACACATTTCATTGATCTTAATTCACAAAAAAGGCCCAGTGTGGATACACTTTGACCTTATTTGCATTTTTATCTTCTGTCACAGTGGCAGGTTGGAGACCCGTGCAGCGCTTACTGGTCAGAGGATGGCCTACTCTATGCAGCCACAATTTCCTCCATTGACCAGAAAAGGGGAACTTGTATAGTTGTTTTTACAGGATATGGCAATGAAGAGGAGCAGAACCTGGAAGACTTGCTATCAGAGGTTTCTGAGGCCGGTGAGGAAACAAATGCCAAGGTAAAGTAGTGAAAATGTTTTTGTTTTGTTTTTCAACTTGGACTGGTGAACGGTCCAGGGTGTGCCCCAACCAAAATCAGCTTTTATTATTCATTATAATTCATCTTATGCTAATTTGTGCATCACAAATTTCAAACTAGATCAATAAACTTGACTCCGTTCATATATTTGACCACCATAAAGTTGCATGGAATTTACATCCTGTGTAGATTGTAATTTTATTTTGCTACAGAACACTCTTCTTTATTCCGTACATACATTTTTATATTCGCCCTCTATAGGTAAATGTGGTAGAGTCGTCAACAGAGGAGAGTGACCGGTCATCCACACCAAACAAACCAAAACACCAGTCACACAGTAAAGCCCAGACGTCCAAGCCTCATAAAGAACCTCCTCCAATGTGGGCTCCTGGCTTCCCTGGGTTCCCCCCAGGTCCACCTCCCATGCATACCTTTAGAAAGGTAAGATGGAGCGCTGCTCAGACCACTTGCTTATTTATTCCTCCGACAATCTTGACTCCACAATTGACTTTTTATATATACAGAAATGTTTTACTTGTTACATTTAGACCAGATAATTTCAGTGTCTCTAAATTCTGTGATGTTTGGCCTCTGTCAGTAAAATTAAACATAAGCAGTAACACATTTACTGTGTGATAAATGGATGAAAAACAATATCCTCTCTGACTTGTCATTTACTGCAGAGCAATTGGATTTCAATAAATTTAACTGGCATTTGTTTCAATGCATTTTCTCTTTGATACACTTGGCAGTTGTTGCAATTACACAAGCTGGAATGCACTCAACGGTAGTCATTTTATGTCAGAAGAAATTCCTTGAGAGGGCTTCTGAAGCTTTCTTTTTTCATTCAAACTAACTATTTGGGCTATTAAGTAGTATTTACATTACATTACTTTTTCTTTCCCTTTTAACCTCTTCTCAGGGTGACAACAGACCTCCGAGTGGATGCCCACCTATACCTCCCTCCTGGCCTCCAATGATGCCTTTTGGTCCACCTGTGAGTTTGAAACCATGCCATATGTACATTAATGATCCAAATGTAAAGGGTACACTACTTTTTCAGACTTCAATATTATTTGATCCTTTGGAGGAAAACATTATATGAGCTGCAGAGTCCTGAAAGGAAGTAGGAGATGTCGGTGAGATGTCTGGGATAAGAAATGACAGCTGAGACAGTTAAGAAGAGTTGGATGAGCCCAGATGACTGGGAAATGGAGAAGACAAAATGAAAAAGCCAACATTACTAAGACAACAGAATTACAGGACTTTAGTCTAACTTCACCACATGGGAAAAGATGTGGAATGGAAAATTAACTTCTAAGCTTGAATTTAAAATGAAGACCAGATTGTTTTGGTGGGAAATTCAGAACCAACTTGATAGTTTCACAGAGTTTGAGCAGATGATGTTTGGTTACGCTCACGATGGCTTCTGTTCCTCAGATGATCCCTCCACCTCCTCCGCTGAGTCTCGACATGGTGGATGACGAGGCTTTGGGTAGTGTGCTCATCTCCTGGTACATGAGTGGATATCACACAGGGTACTACCTGGTATGTGCAAAGTGGTTTGTCTTTCATTGACTGTAACAGAGATTTTAAGAATTTATGTAATGGGTCAAATCTACTGCATCCACATATAAAACAGGATATATTTTGTAAGCTTTGTTTTCTTAGGCTTAATCTTCTTAGAAAGTGGAGTTTCTTGTCAGACTCATAACTAAATATTTTTTAAGAGTTTGATAGTAGCTTTTTTGCCATCCGCAGGGGTTGAAACAAGGACGCAAAGAGGCTGCCAAGTGGAACGAACTGCACCACAAGTGATATGATTAACTCAAGTTTTACTTTGAGTCACTTCGGACCTCTTATGAAGCAGCAGCAGCCTCAAATCTGATTTGTGGGCTGTGTCCTTCAAAGAAACTGTCTTGACTCAATGAAGAAAAGTTTTGTATTCTTTGTAAATATATGAAATAAAGGCTATTAGAACAGAGTCGGTATGTTCTTTGTTTTTCAGTTCCTATTTGAATAGGATCACTTTTGTCGCAGTTGGATCCACAAGATTTGATGGGGAAATAAATCATCCTGACTTGCATCTTATAATTATGGAGACCATTAACATATAAGAATTTTGTATTTTTGATCATTCGATAATGTGTTTTTGTCACTTCTGAGAAAAAATTATGGATTGTTTAAGAACATAAAATGAGGCTCAATTTAAGAGCTATCTACTGCATTGCTCAGCTGTAATGAACCTACACTCACTTTGTTGAGTCACTGGATGTACGTTGTTCAGTTTATTCTGCAAATTGTCAATTAGTTTAATTGCAGATAATTGGGTCGCTCAGACTTTGTTACATGTGGATGTAATGACTAATGTTGTCCAGCAGAAGTCAGACAAGTGTAATGCATTCTCATTGGTGGATAATGCCTCATGAATATATGACACTGTTGTTTCAACCCGTACAAAAAGAAAATCACAGAAAAGGACTCTCCACTTTTAATTGTGTGCATTGTCCATGCACATTCATCTCTCCTGACATGCCGGTGAGATTACCAGTCAGATTTCAGTCCTGCTTTAGTCCCTCTGCTGCTTTCCACTTATTTCAGAGAAGGGTTCCAGTGTGTGCCTTGCATTCAAGCCCTCTGTTTTCCCAGAGGTGTTTCCTCATCCACTACTTTGTGTAGGAACACATCCATCATGATGTTTTCCTGCTCGTATGAGATGGCTGCATATTTCGGGGTGATAGTAAGCACAGATAAAGCTACAGATACCAGGACACATTCAACCAGCTGTCTTGATATTTCACATTATCGTTAAAACTGTTACAATTCTTTGTTTTGATGTCATACACACCTGAAAATTGTCATCCTTTAGGCCAAACTTTACTGGAAACATTTCAGTTTTGTGTGGCTGCACCTGTTGAAGTTTTAATACTTGCTCAGCTGTAATCTACTTACAACACCTCTTCTCTTTTCATTGTCCCCAAAGCTGATATTAGGATGCCGGGGGTTTAATAATACACAAACAGAACAAGGAGTTGAGTAATGGTTGCAGATCCTTTATGCACCTTTATATTTAGAATCCAGAAAACCACACATAATTATAGTGGGGACCGCCACAGTCTTTCTGCTCAGCCTGAAGTGCCTCCACTCCATGAAAGAGAGGCCAAACAGATTCCCTCATTTCCTTGTCTAGTGATTTGCTACCCATTTGCTACCCATTCCTGTGGCTCGAAACTGGTGAGTGTTTGATCATATCATGCATGTAAGTGCCCGAGATAGAAACAGAAAAGGGTTTTGTATTAGGATGTAACAGCATGACTGTCTCTATATTTCATACCATGGGATCTTACTCCAGCTGCCCCACAGTGATTTTTCTCTGAAAGAAGAGCAGCCTCTTTGTTTGTGTACTGACTGCAGTTACCATTTTATAGCCCACTGTGGCTGCAAATATTTACAGCTGAATTGGATTCTTACTTTATGCCGACAACTTTCATTTTTCTCGCTGTATTTCGGCCACCTATGTGAGCAAAATAGAAAAAGAAACTGGAGAATGAAAGAGGGACATTAACAGGAAAATATGTAGTTTTGGGGGATTTCTATATAAAATATGCGCTATACATGAAAGTAGATAAAGTAAACCTATCTTTAGAGCACAGATGGATTTAATATCTGCCACGGTAAAGCCTACACATAAGCCAATTGCTTACTCCTCAGAAAACCGAGTTGCCCACAGGGCCGAGTTGGGCCCAGTGAAGAGTTGGAGGGGGGTCTGACCTCGCATGAAAAGTACTGCTCCCCTACGTGGCACGAGGGGTGTAGACTTATTTAGCATTTTGCATAGTCCCTTCTAGGAAATGAGCATCCAAAGGAGATCACATTGCTGCATGAGTTACAAGGCCGTCAGCTATTTACTCAAGCTCTCAACATGGGCAAAACATTATGCCTTTCAAATAAGATACTTTGGAGGTCGTAACAGGAACAGAGAAACAAAGGCCGGTTTTATATTTCCAACACAGACAAGCTGTAAAGATTCACTGAATGACAATAAAAACTCTGATTTGTAGAGCACCTTTGTAAACACTTAGAGCCGCCGTAAAGACAGGCGAGACATTAGGCAAAAACGGAGGCTCTAGATAGGAATCTGTGGAAATACTGCTGGTAACACTTTCAGTTGCAGAGAAGGCAAACAAAGCGTCGGCAGTTACTAACGCTGGCAGACAGATGGTACACTGAAGCTGTGTGCCGAGACAAAAAAAATGTAATTCCCATTAAAATGGGATTCCATGATGACTGTAGATTTTCAGAGGTAATTGCCGAACCGCCATCAAAGCAGTTCAAATGTAAATATTGAGCGAAGACGAAGGACGCCGTCTTTCAATCAGCGTGCTGCTTTCAAGGGGGGGAAAAAGGCCTCAGGCTCTTGTTTTTCCTTTTTGGTCTTTGGGATGATTTTTGTTTCATTTTGTTCTGACAGTTGTTGGTCAAACGGTTGGTCAGATACGCGGGCGCTCAGTGCACTGAAGCAGAAAGCAGATAACAGAATGAACACGAGCACTTTGCCTTCACACAGTTGCAAAATCAAAAACAGAGTATCATGAGGAAAAGTCAGGGGGATTTTCTCAGATCTGTGAGCTGTGTTATGTGTGAATCGCAGGGGGTGAACGATTTGTCTTTTTCTTTGTAGTCTTTAGTTACCACAACTGAAATTTCACCATTTGCCGCGGAAGCAAAGCACCGTCTCTGTTTGTAGACTGACCCTTGCACCAGTAAGAGTGAGCAGCCATTGTTGTCTAACCTCTCTGAATTCCAGTCACAGCAGGTTCAGAAACCTTCTGGTGCCGCAACTAGTTATGATTCACATTCCTACTGGATTTTCATGCTCCGTTGCAGATGCTCATAAATAAAATGTTATTTCATGAGGGTAAAGCTCATGCTGCCAGCTTTACAAGGCCTTAAACATGCTGCATTATTGGTTTTAAGCGAACTAAGAGTCTCCGGGGCCAAAGAAGCACTAGTGAATAATAGATAATCCGGACCAAATGAGCTATTTGCTTATATTCTCATCAGTACAAATACAGCGATGGTAAAATACAGCTCCATTTGTCTGACTTGAAAGTGCAAAACTGAATTTGAATGACTCCTTTTTTCCTTTGTGTAGGTTTTCGGCACATGTTTATCTTTTCTGTTCAGCTATATTTCATCATAAAGCCTTTCTAAGAGTCTTCTTCATATTTACTTCTGTCAGACTTACTAAAACTTCCCAGAGGCAAATACATAGGTTACTGAAAAATTCTGAGGTACTTGGATAAAATAATCAAAACCAGAAAGGATGCCACAGGAGGTTTGACCCAGTCCTGGTTGCTGAATGACCTGCACTGACGGACTTTGTAAAAGCCTGGTATTGAGGAAGTAAATCTTTGCCAGCCATCACCGGTAGAGGCCTGATTACACGGGGCAGGGCAGAGTTTGTGTCAGCTGTGCGCCACATGGGGTGTCACTGTGGACCCACGCAGGCCTGCGTCTGGGGAGAGAAATTAAACCGGCTGTTTATGAGGACGTGATTCTTCCCCTCCCCGAGACTCCTGTTGCCTCAGTTGCGACACCCTCTTGTGAAGGAACGCCAATAGAGTCTCACGCCGCGTTGGCCTCGATCTCTTGGGAGTTTTTTCTTTCTTTTTTTTTGGCCGGTGGGATCGTTTTGTGCCGCTAGTGGATCTGCGCCGATCCGTGCGGAAGTTTTGCCAGCGGTTCCTCCCTTTTACGCGCAGAGTGCGGCTCACACTGACCGCGCTGCCCTGTCTGAGAAGTTGTCAGAGAGATCTACAAGATGTTCTGCCGAAATCAAACGTCGAGGGCCACCGTCGCCCGGGGCTCTGCTCTGGAAATGGAGATACGGCGAGGGAAGTTCAGAAGGAGCGTTTTCTCGGACGCATCACAGGTGGACAGCTGTTTTTCTCTTTCTCTCACACATGAGCGCACCCACAAAAAACAGTCTGTGTTTACACTTTTGATGGATCTTCCTCCACAAACAGAGTGATTGGCTGACTTGTTATCTGATTCGGAGGGCTGCTGCGGTCTGCACGGTGTTTGAGTTCAGTTGTAGTTGAGAACTGTACCGATGCCTTATCCGTTTAAAGCTCAATGCAGACACTCAGTCTCAAAGAGACTTTAAGTTCAATGTCCCTTACTTTGTGGACTGGTACTAACCCAAAATATGATTAGTGTCATGTTTCTGTCGGTTTGATGTTGTGTCATTTCTACGATTTAGCCCAGTTTTATAGTTTAGATATGATACTGACATACAGATGATCAGAATAAGTGGGTTTTCATTCATATCAATCCATATGGGTAAATTCTCCAGATACTATTCTTGTTTTTTGTTGTTGTTTGTTTGTTTGTTTTTACACTCACCCTCTTTGTTTGAGCGACCTGTAAGGTTTCAGAACTTGTCTGAAGCATGTGGATTTCAGTCTTCTGGCTCTCTCAAATGTCTTTTTCGCTCCACGGTTCTGACAACTGGCTGTTGGACAGTGGGGTAGTTGGCCTGCACCCACCAAAAGTTGAGAAGCAGGTCAACGCAGCAGCTTTTATACTACTCTAAACAGAGCTACTTCCCTTCACGCATGTTTTCCTCTTCCTCTCTGCTCCTATGTCAGCGTCTGCTTCATATTAGCGACGGTTTGTCAAAATGCTTCCAATCTAACCTCTAATTATTCTTACTCACACTTTAATCGTGTTCTGATGGAAAGTCCTCCATCTTCCAAACTACTACTCACTTTTTCTTTCATTTACTCTAAATCCTCCAGAGGCTGTGAGCCATC